AACCTAACCTAACCTAACCTAACTTATCCTAACCACAAGACTCTTCTAGTGATAAGAAAAAGGTTGGAAACTTTTGAGTGAGGAGAGTCGAGGGGGTGAGTGGAGCGGTGTTTAGGGGCCGTCGTCTCAATATATTATACCTTACTCTACCTCCTGCTGACACCTGGGGCCTCTCTCTACCTGCTGTTGACACCTGGGGCCTCTCTCTACCTGCTGCTGACACCTGGGGCCCCATTTTCCACCTACAGGACACCTGGGGCCTCACCTGCTTAAGACACCTGGGCCCCCTCTACCTGCTGGTGATACCTGGCACTCTCTCACCACAGACACTGGGGCTTCTCTACCTGCTGGTGACACCTGGGGCCTCTCTACCTGCTGCTGACACCTGGGGCCCTCCCTCTCATCTGCTGCTGACACCTGGGGCCCTCTCTACCTGGGCTGGGTGACACCTGGGGCCCCTCTCTACCTGCTGCTGACACCTGGGGCCCTTCTCACCTGGGTTGCTGACACTGGGGCCTCTCTACCTGCTGCTGACACCTGGGGCTCCTCTCTCTACCTGCTGCTGACACCTGGGGCCCTCCTTCACCTGCTGTTGACACCTGGGCCTGTCTCTCACTCTGGGCACTGGACACCTGGGGCCCCCTTTCCCCACCTGCTGGGCGACACCTGGGGCCTCCTCTCTACCTGCTGCTGACACCTGGGGCCTCTCTCTCCATCTGGGCTGTTGACACCTGGGGCCCTCTCTCACTCATTGCTGACACCTGGGCCTGTCTCTCATCTACACTTGACACCTGGGGGCCCCTCTCACCTGCTGCTGACACCTGGGGCCTCCTCTACCCATGCTGCTGACAATCTGGCCCCCTCACTTGCTGCTGACACCTGGGGCCTTCTCTATCTGCTGCTGACACTCTGGGGCCTTTCACCTGTTGCTGACACCTGGGGCCTGGTTTCTACCTGTTACTGACACCTGGGGGCCTCTCACCTGCTGCTGACACCTGGGGCCTCCTTCTCACTCATGCTGCTGACACCTGGGGCCTTCTACTTGCTGCTGACACCTGGGCCTCTATCTGTTGCTGACACCTGGGGCCTGTTCTACCAAGGCTGCTGACACCTGGGCCTCTCTATCTGCTGCTGACACCTGGGGCCCCCTCTCTCACACACACAAACACTCGCACAACTTCCGAACCCAACCTAAACCAACCCAATACAAAATAAGTCAACTAAACCCATCCTAAACCCAACCTAAACGAACCCAACCCAACCTAACTTGACCCAAACGAACCCAACCCAACCCAACCTAACTTGACCCAAACGAACCCAACCCAATCCAACCTAACTTGACCCAAACGAACCCAACCCAGCCTAACTTAACCCAACCCAACCTAACAACAAATGATCCCTTCGATACGTCATCTGGAAATGAAAATAGAAAATCGAGTGTTTACAAATTTCCCTTGACAAATCAAAATCCCCCCCGTCCCCCCCACCCAGAGAGGTGATGGTGGTAGTGGTGGTTAGTGGTGGTTGCCAGAAAAGCCATCATCATATAATACATCGTACCCCCCCTCTCTCTACCTGCCTCACTCACCTGGGGTCTCTCTCTCTCTCTCTCTCTCTCTCTCTCTCTCTCTCTCTCTCTCTCAGGAACACGTCATTATACTTGGAGACACAAAAGCGGCTTCGCCTCCTTATCAATGAATCATACCGGCAGATCACACCACGCCACCCACCTCCTCTCGAGTACACCAAAGCGCACAGTGTACAGTTTTTCGTCAGATTGTACAGTTTTTCGTCTCATAGTACAGTTTTTAGTCATTTTGTAGTTTTTCGTCTCATTGTACAGTTTTTCGTCATTTTGTACACAGTTTTAAGTACAGTCCTTCGTCAGTTTGTATAGTCTTAGGTACAGTTTTTCGTCAGATTGCACAATTTTTTCGTCATGTTGTACACAGTTTTTCGTCAGTTTTCCATTTGCTATTTTAGGCTATTAACAGACAACTGACGAAATAAATTTTACGTGGTGTGTCTGTAATGGTTTTTTTTTGTACCGTTAACAGACAAGGGTGAGAATAACTATCTTCCGTGTGGGTCACTTGCTCTATTCTCAAACTGGCGCACACACACACACACACACACACACACACAGATCTCAGGACAGATTCAGTAAAGCTCCACAATTGAATTAGGCGACGGGAAGGCGCCTCTCTCTCTCTCTCTCTCAGTGTGTGTGTGTGTGTGTGTGTGTGTGTGTGTGTAAAAATGTCCAGGTGTTTTTTGCTACTGGTATATATTCTCTACCAAATACACAATACTTTTTACACTCTACTACTACTTTGCTGTCACTCGGAATCAAGTATGACGATCATCCAGCTATGATACAATGATATGAGTTATTAAGGATGTCACCTTCGTTGGTGAGTTCTGAGGTGACTAAAGAAGCCGATACGGGACCAGTAGGGTCGATCACAGATGTTGCACATGTGGGGGGCTACATCTAGTGCGGGAGGGGCAGCGGCAGCGTCTTTCCGGCGTTGGCGCTTGTCTGCCTCGGTATGCAGTCGGGCTAACTCGAAAGTATTGACACCTTCTCGTGTTGTGCTCCTCCAAGCATTACGGTGTGGAGTAATCGTCTCCCAGGTGAGGGGGTCGATTTGACACTTTTTCAGGTTTATCTTACGATTATCCTTATACCTTTTCAGTTGCCCGCCGGACTGCCAGAGCAGCTACTTCACAGTCACCTAACGAATAGTAAACTTTTTACACACACACACACACACACACACACACACACACACACACACACACACACACACACACACACACACACACACCACACACACACACACACACGCACACACACACACACACACACACACACACACACGGAAGCCTCAAAATCAGTACAGTGTAACGTTCAACCCCTCAACAACCCCTGATAAAACACCTTAACATCCAACCCCAGATAGAACCCCTCAACAACTTACAACAACTGCCAGACCCTGATATGACCCCCTTAACAACCCCTGATATAACCCATAACAACTGCCAGGCCCTAATATAACCCCTTAACAACCCCTGATATAACCCATAACAACTGCCAGACCCTGATATAACCCTTTAACAACCCCTGATATAACCCCTAACAACTGCCAGGCCCTAATATACCCCCTTAACAACCCCTGATATAACCCTTAACAACTGCCAGGCCCTAATATACCCCCTTAACAACCCCTGATATAACCCTTAACAACTTCTAGGCCCTAATATGATCCACTAAGCAGGGCGAAGCGGGGACCTGAACGGAGCGGCGGAGTGGCCACAGTATTTCCCCTGGGACAACACTACGACTTGGTGCAGATACGAGACAGCTTTACCAAATAAATTGTCTCCCTTCGACCAGACTGTGTGGAAAGGGGAGAGGGAGGTTGGGAGGGTGATGCTTTGGAGGGGAGATGTGCTGGAGGGAGTGGGAGGGTGTGCTGGAGGAAGGGGAGAGGTAGTTGGGGAGGGTGTGCTTTGGAGGGGGGAGGGAGGGTGTCTTTGGAGGAAGGGAGAGGGAGGTAGTTGGGGGAGGGGTGTGCTTTGGGAGGGGAAGGGGAGGGGGTGTTCTTTGGAGGACAGGAGGTGTGTGTGTGTGTGTGTGTGTGTGTGTTTGAGGTAATGGGTGGAGGTTGTGGGTATGGCTCAAGGTGACAGGTGTGATGTGGCTCAGTTGACAGGTGTGGGCGTGACATAAACAAGACAATAACATGTGAAATGCACTAAACACGGAGAGAATAAATGATGAAAAAGAGGGATGGAGTGACTAATGGATTGTGTAAATATAGGCTATGACGTCAGTGGAATAATGGAAAGGATGATGAGAACAAAGATAAGGCGTGATAAAGACTAGACACACACATGGAGAGGAGGAGGAGGAGGAGGGAAGATGTGGATTGGTTAAGGGGAGTGGCGTGTGGGAGGGTGATAATGAGTGGCGTGTGGGAAGGTGGGAGGCGTGTGGGGGACGCGGGCAGAGTGTCAGTGTTTCGTGACATTAATACCGAGTTACGACCCACTAGACGGGAAGACTTGATCACATTTACAGATAAAAATTCTCTCTTGCTTCTTCTTAACATCCTACTCTCTCCTTCAGGTAACATCCTACACTCTCCTTCAGGTAACATCCTACACTCTCCTTCAGGTAACATCCTACACTCTCCTTCAGGTAACATCCTACACTCTCCTTCAGGTAACATCCCACACTCTCCTTCAGGTAACATCCTACACTCTCCTTCAGGTAACATCCTACACTTTCCTTCAGGTAACATCCTACACTTTCCTTCAGGTAACATCCTACACTCTCCTTCAGGTAACATCCTACACTCTCCTTCAGGTAACATCCTACACTTTCCTTCAGGTAACATCCTACACTCTCCTTCCATGGTAACATCTACACTCTCCTTCCAGGTAACATCCCTCTCTCCCCCTTCAGGTAACATCCTACCTCTCCTTCAGGTAACATCCTACACTCTCCTTCAGGTAACATCCTACACTCCTCCTTCAGAGTATCCTCTCACTCTCCTTCAGGTAACATCCTACACTCTCCTTCAGGTAACATCCCTACTCTCTCCTTCAGGTAACATCCTACACTCTCCTTCAGGTAACATCCTACACTCTCCTTCAGGTAACATCCTACACTCTCCTTCAGGTAACATCCTACACTCTCCTTCAGGTAACATCCTACACTCTCCTTCAGGTAACATCCTACACTCTCCTTCAGGTAACATCCTACACTCTCCTTCAGGTAACATCCTACACTCTCTCCTTCCAGGTAACATCCTACACTCTCCTTCAGGTAACATCCTACACTCTCCTTCCAGGTAACATCCTCTCTCTCCTTTGTAACATCCTCACTCTCCTTCAGGTAACATCCTACACTCTCCTTCAGGTAACATCCTACACTCTCCTTCTTCAACGTCCTTCACTCTCCTTAATCCATACTTTTCCTCCTCCTACAGGATGCGACTACTACCAGTGTGGGTTCTGGCTGTGGTGGGGTGGGTAGCTGCCGCCACCCCTGGCCCACGACTCCACCACACCTCCCAAGAGGACCAGAATCTAGGACCAGCTATTAGGGACGTGACCAGCCCTAAGCACACACCTGCTGACGATGAGGACCTGGGACCCGCCCTTCTCACCCTCGCCAGGCGTAAGAGAGCCAACATCAAGGCCAACCTCCCTTACTCTAACTACAGACCTTCAGGAGGTATACACAGGTGAGTATACCAGTCTCCTGCCTCTACAGTTACCAGTCTAGAGGCGTGACTGTAACCACTCTAATACTCTCTACACAGTTACCAGTCTAGAGGCGTGACTGGTACCACTCTAATACCTCTATACACAGTTACCAGTCTAGAGGCGTGACTGGTAACCACTCTAATACCTCTATAGATTACCAGTCTAGAGGCGTGACTGGTAACCTCTATACCTCTATACACAGTTACCAGTCTAGGCGTGACTGGTAACCACTCTAATACCTCTATACACAGTTACCAGTCTAGAGGCGTGACTGATACCACTCCTATACCTCTATACACAGTTACCAGTCTAGAGGCGTGGTAACCACTCTATACCTCTATACACAGTTACCAGTCTAGAGGCGTGACTGGTACCACTCTAATACCTCTATACACAGTTACCAGTCTAGAGCGTGACTGGTACCACTCTAATATATCAGGCAACTATATACCGTACATCAGCTTCTGTATCTTGATAGCAAAAAGACCCTGAGTTATAATGGTGCTCTGATCATGTTGGTGCTCTGATCATGATGGAGCTCTGATCATGATGGTGCTCTGATCATGATGGTGCTCTGATCATGATGGTGCTCTGATCATGATGGTGCTCTGATCATGATGGTGCTCTGATCATGATGGTGCTAGTCATGATGGTGCTCTGATCATGATGGTGCTCTGATCATGATGGTGCTCTGATCATGATGGTGCTCTGATCATGATGGTGCTCTGATCATGATGGTGCTCTGATCATGATGGTGTCTGATCATGATGGTGCCCTGATCATGATGGTGCCCTGATCATGATGGTGCCTGATCATGATGGTGCTCTGATCATGATGATGCTCTGTATGATGGTGCTCTGATCATGATGGTGCTCTGATCATGATGGTGCTCTGATCATGATGGTGCTCTGATCATGATGGTGCTCTGATCATGATAGTGCTCTGATCATGATGGTGCTCTGATCATGATGGTGCTCTGATCATGATAGTGCTCTGATCATGATGGTGTATTTAAATTGATAATAAGGAATAATACCAATCAATGTACAGAGCAGTATACCACATGGGGACAATCCGAACCTAACCTAAACTTACCTAACCTAACCTAAACCAGCCTAAACTAACCTTAAACCTAAACTAACCAAACCTAACCAAACCTAAACTAACCTAACCTAAACTAACCTAACCAAGCCTAACCTAACCTAACCTACACACATGTATCACTAAAGCTGACCGGAGGAATGAGACACCTATATAAATTATTCAGGCATCATGGTAACTATATCAATTTTAGTATGGTAGTGAATGGTGTAGTGTGGTGAGTTATATACAACGTTATACATCAGGGTAAGTAAATATATATGTGTATATATATATATATATATATATATATATATATATATATATATATATATATATATATATATATATATATATATAAACTACGGTAATAATGGTGCATCATGGTAGATATAAACATTAGTATAACATTAATGGTGCATCATGGTAGATATAAACATTAGTATGGTAATAATGGTGCATCATGGTAGATATAAACATTAGTATAACATTAATGGTGCATCTGGTAGATATAAACATTAGTATAATATTAATGGTGCATCATGGTAGATATAAACATTAAGTATGGTAATAATGGTGCATCATGGTATATATAAACATTAGTATAACATTAATGTGCATCATGGTAAATATAAACATTAGTATGGTAATAATGGTGCATCATGGTAGATATAAACATTAGTATAACATTAATGGTGCATCATGGTAGATATAAACATTAGTATAATATTAATGGTGCATCATGGTAGATATAAACATTAGTATGGTAATAATGGTGCATCATAGTAAATATAAACATTAGTATGGTAATAATGGTGCATCATGGTAGATATAAACTTAGTATAACATTAATGGTGCATCATGGTAGATATAAACATTAGTATAATATTAATGGTGCATCATGGTAGATATAAACATTAGTATGGTAATAATGGTGCATCATAGTATATATAAACATTAGTATAATATTATTGCATCATAATATAAACATTAGTATGGTAATAATGGTGCATCATGGTAGATATAAACATCAGTATGGTAATAATGGTGCATCATGGTAGATATAAACATCCAGTATTGTAGTAATGGTAGTTATATAAATCAAGTATCGTACTAATGTTTCACCATGGTAGCCAAATAATAGTATGGTAAATAATGGTAGTCATTGAGCACACCAACAACCACACCGTCAAAATAATGGTTCATCATGGTAGCTATCAACACTACCATGATATTTATGTTACATATATTATTGTAATAATGGTAGTTTGACATAATTATGAAGTATGGTAGCGACGTCATCTCAGTATGGTAATAACAGCTCATCATGATAGTTACAAATAGTTCCCCACACTAAATAGCTCCCCACATTCAACCAAAAATAGCTCGCCTCATCTAATAGCTTCCCACAGTCAATCATAAATAGCTCCCCTCTTCACATTAATACGTTCTTCACACTAAATAGCTCCCCACTATCAACTAAAAATAGCTCGAGACTCGGGCCATTACAGTTCTATTCAACAAGTTGGATGGGGATTCAGCCAGAGAGAGTGAACCATTTTAGGTCAGATCTCGAACCTTATACTGAACCCTTGAACCACCAAACCCGACACTGACCCACCGAACCTCTGACACTGAACCACCGAACCTCTGTATAATGAACACTGAACCACCAGCCTCTGACACTGAACCACCGACTCTGTATAATGAACACTGACCCACCAGACCTCTGACCTCAACCACCGACTCTCTGTATAATGAACACTGACCCACCAGACCTCTGACACTGAACCACCGAACCTCTGTATAATGAACACTGAACCACCGAACCTCTGTATAATGAACACTGAACCACCGAACCTCTGTATAATGAACACTGAACCACCGAACCTCTGTATAATGAACACTGAACCACCGAACCCCATAAGATAAAAACAATAACCCCTGATTTTTCCAATACATAATTAGATTCAATTTTTAGTTCCAACTTTCTTATTCATGTTTGTGTAAAAAGTTGTTTAGAATTTCACCTAAACTTTGGTATTGTGTGACTTTTTGAATCGTATTTAAAGAGTTAAGTCATCGTTCTCAAGTGGTTATTCATTATACTCGAGCGGTTAACCACTTGACAACGGTGTCTTAACCTCTTGAGTATGATGAATTGACCTCTTGATTATAATGACTTAACACCTTGGGGGGATAAGTCATTATACTCAAGGGGGTAATTAATCGTACCCAAGGTTTAGTTATCATAGGACACAGTTATAATACGCCCTGGTTATGTCAGGTTAATCTGGGTCACGTTTAGACTAGGTCATATTTAACACCTCACCAAAGATGAACTAGAAATACACTCTAATTATATATTCCCCATAAACAACTGTAGACACGACCTATTAATTACTACTGATGGATTAATTAGACATTATTTATACATTTAATTAATTATTTTTTGTGTATAATCTTTGTTAATTACATTATTTAGTTTATTTAATTTAGAGTAAACTTTTTATAATAAATCTCCCTCCACAATTAAACTTAGGAATTGTTGTTAGTCTTTCTATGTTACGGCTTGTATTGTTAAAACTCACGGCCCTGCCCTATGATTATTACCAGTCATAACTATCTAACTGTGGAAACCAACTCACCCTTTGGTTAGTTATCCCAAGGCGTTATGACTGGTAGTATCTGTGAGGTTGACCTAAGATCACATGTACTGTCGATGTATTTAGTGGTCAACCCTTCACATAAAACACCTGGTGATTCTTAGTCGTAATGATAACTTCTGAGACTATAGCCTGACGGTACACATGATGATAATATTATCAAGGCAAAATTATCAAAAGTTTAAAAAGTTTTATATTTGTCTCTCGTCATTGGGGATAAAGAAACATTTATCAGTAATTGACCTGACCTATCGACAGCCCCCCGCTCACTTTTACCGAATTAACCAATCAAATTTAAGTGGTGACCCAGACGACGTTCCTATTTGCTGTTCATCATCACATTATATCCTTAGCTTGTAAAGAATAATATATCAAATAGCTTTTTAAAATATATTACAGTGAGATGTTTTTACAAGGTGATATATGGAGTTTGACCTTAGCAACCAATCTGTGTGTCTGAGCTATCACGGTTGCTAAGGCCAGACGGAAATAGAGAAGACTTGCTTCATAGGTCAATCGGCGTCAAATTACCTGTTATTTTCTGTGTCAGCTTAAAGTAAGAAGGACCAAATGTACCTTCATCCAGATTCCAGATACGAGGAGAAATATATCCTACGAACCTTATCAGAATTCTTCAGAGTCGAGTCCTTCTGATATTTACAGGTTGACTATTAACATCAAGGGGTGGAGGGGGTATTAATTGGGCAGGAGGCTGGCCACAGTTTTAACAACACGACCCGACCACCACCTCTTAGTGAGCAGAGTCTGTTGATGTTCTTGCATTTTGCACCTCCTCCAGACCATACTCCGGCTGGAGCCGTCTCTCGTGTGCGCAGGTTGTTCTTTCCCCCCCGTGTGCGCAGGTTGGTATACTTTGCTATCGTGTGCGCAGGTTGGTATACTTTGCTATCGTGTGCGCAGGTTGGTATACTTTGCTATCGTGTGCGCAGGTAGATCGTCAACACCGCTGGTAATACTAAGTGCAAGTAGGTAGCCAAGACGTCTACCAGGAGCTCAACAAGTACTTCCATCACAGGAGCAGTTGGTAGTGTTTTCTCCCATGTACAGTAAGCTGCAGGTAAATACAACTTTATTTCAACAGTACAAGAATGCCTTACAACTTACAAGTACATAGACGCCCCTCTCCTACGTACACAGACACACCATCGTCCCATGTACACCGCCAGTATGTCAGCGTGGGTAAGTACTGTACCTGTCAGTGCACCTCCACTCCATGTCAGCATCCTCCCCCCTCACCTCATATCCACCTCCCACAACTCACCTCACATCCACCTCCCAACTCCTCCACATCCTCCCACAACTCACCTCATCACCTCCCACAACTCACCTCACATCCACCTCCCACAACTCACCTCACATCCACCTCCCACAACTCACCTCACATCCACCTCACAACATCTTGAGCACAATTTTACCTAAACAATTATTGAGATCCTGAATAAATATCTGAATATTGGTACTGTACCTTTATAGGACGATAATATAAACAGAGATAGGATAATGACTTTTTAATTATCATAAAGGAATGATTGAAACTATCTCTTCATTTATCTCTGCATGACACCTTCAAGTGCTACTCCACCCATATGTTTCGTGTGGTAGTGCTGGCTGCCTCTCTGCTCCTAGTAACGATCGCTCACGTCCACCGCTTGTTGAGTCTGGCAACAGAGGACCATCCGCAGTGCTGCCTGGCATCACCTTCCTTCATGCCACCTCTTATTGTTCTTCTTCTCTAACCTTCTATGTCATGATATCCACACTACCACTGTTTCTCTCTCCCTCAGGTACCGCTACCCGCTTTACCGCAAGCGGTCCTACCAGCCCCAGCCTCAGTATGACTACGAGAGCAGGGTGATGCTGCCCGAGCTGGCAGAGGACTACCAGGAGTACGACGACTACCCCAAGGTGCCATCACTCTTCAGGGAGAGGAACATCCAGCAGCAGCAGGACCGGAAGAAGAAGGAACTGCTCCTGGAAGACGACGGCTACTTCAGCGACGACTACGTGCCAGAGAAAGGTTCACTGAGCCCTAGCCGAGAGCCTCTGACGGAGAAGGACTACCTCTACCACCTGTACAACATGCCCTTTCTCAGACCTGGAGCGTCTTAACCACATGTACGAGATCGGTAAGCGAGACTCTGATACTCTGGATGACTCGTATGACCTGGAGCCTCTTGACCAGGTACAGAGTCTCATGCCGTCACCCGGGCACTACGACGTTGTTGACTCAGTCAGGAGAAATAAAGCCATCAACGGTGTGATCCCAGGGGACGTCATGAGCAGCTCTGACCGCCAGCAGTTGAGGAAGTCAATAAGATCAGCTGCTAGCAGATTCTGGAAGAAGCAGGAAGCCCAGAAGAGTGCCATCAGAGACACCATCAACAGGAGAAAGAGACACAGTTGCTGTGACGCCACTCCCTGCTACTGCTACTACTGCTGCTGCTGCCGCCAACAAGACCACCACCACCACTACCACCACCACCACCACCTCGCCATCAACCCCTCACCCAAGACCTCCTCCTTCTCTTCTACCATCCCCACCCGCTACCACGCCCAGCTGGCCAGATACCGCAAGAAGCGCGCCTTCAGCGACGCTTCAAGTATGAAAAGAGGAGGAGAAGTGCCCAAGGACCTCGACAACTTCCTCGTTGGAATATTTCAAGACCTTCGCCCGTGCCACCGACCAGAAGAAGAAGAAAATGGCTTAGCCAGTTTGAGGCTGACAAGCGAACATCAGACCTTGAAGACCTTTTGGAGGACCCCGCCATGTTGCAGTATATGCAGATCAAACTTAAAGGTTAGTAACTATATGTATGGCGACCTGTGGTGTAATGATCATCATGCTCGCCTCGCAAGTGAATGGGAACCTGGATGTTAATCGTGTTCCGGGGTAATGGTTAGTCAGTGCAGTTAGTGAGTTATCCGGTCTTCTCGGACTATTCCTTGACACTGGGTCATGCAACTCGTTAACTCGGGGTGTGATTGTTGTGTTGGCGACAGCTTCTACACCTTAAACACTGGGTCATGCAGCTCGTTAACTCATACCATACAAGGAATTCTAACTGTAAGTACACACACACACACACCCATGTTCATCAACTATTATTCCTACAGTATATATGTCATGTTCATACCAAGTCACTTTCTCTTCTTAAGTGACGTTCATATACAAAGTGCCGTCAAAGCTAACCTAACCAAACCTAACCTAACCTAACCAAATATCTTGTTGGACGGAAGAATGATAATAAGAGTGTAATTATTGTGGTTTTACTGCTAAGAATAATACCTTCCATTGATACTTTCCGGAAATAGTGGTATAAAAATCGCCCTATACTTGTTATCTTAGAAGGTTTAATATAAAAAACTCATCTTTGTCATTTGTATGGGTTCAGTGATAATAATAATACCTTGTAACTAGTGATCTTGATACAAACAAAAATATATCATCCTATACTTGATATCACGAACAAAAAATCATTCTGTACTTGAAATTTTGGGTGATTTTCTAATATAAAAACACATATTACCAATCACACTTCCCCATGTACAAGATACACTATCACCATCACCACTGCACCATCACCACCACTACTACACACCTACCACCTGTCACCACTACTACCCCCACAACCACCACCACCTACACCTCCCACCACCTACCCTACCATCACACACACACACATGGGGACGTCTCTAATGCCTTGTCTCCCCAGCCTATGGTGTCCCTTCCTTCCTCTGGGTCACCGCGTAGTCGTGGCGCTGAATACACGGGATTATCTCGATAAATATTTAAACACCATGGCCGATCTTTCTCTCTCTCCTTTCTTTATCTCTCTCAATCTTTCTCCTTTCTTTCACCCCTTTATCCTTCTGCTTTCTTTCAATTTATCTATATATCCAACTTTTTTTCTCTCTCTCTGTATCTATATATTCTCTCTATTTTCTTTCAATCAATCTATTTATGTAACCTCTCTCTCTCTCTCTCTCTCTCTCTCTCTCTCTCTTATCGCTCACAGTTCTTCTTTAAAGGAAGTCAATAGTCGAAACAAAAGAGGTTATTGAGTGAGGGAAGAAAAGGATAACTAATGGAAGGATTTTGAACCTTCATATTGGACCACTGATGAAGGCTCAGGTGTGTTTACAGGTATGTCTTAGTCATCCTTACAGGTGTGTTTAGTCATCCTTACAGGTGTGTTTACGTCCCTAATAGCTTTGTTTACATCCTCACCACGTTTGTTTACAGCGTCAACCTGGCCAACATATCGACAGGTAAACAAGACTTTATATATTACGAAAGATTAAATTGGTTGGTTGGGTTAGGTTAGGTTAGGTTAGGTTAGGATGGGATAATAAGGCTTACATTAGGTTAGCTTAAGTTTGACTAGCTCAGCTCAGATTAAGCTAGGTTAGGTTATGTTCTATTAAGTTAGGCATCCACCAAGTTGTTAATGGTTCGAGTTGATAACGTTATCATCCTAGTTAGGGTCGTTAGTGTAGTTGTTGGAGATAACTGTTGGTGTTACAGTGAGGAGGAGCTTCATGGCCAGCTCTGTGTGTGTGTGTGTGTGTGTGTGTGTGTGTGTGTGTGTGTGTGTGTGTGTGTGTGTGTGTGTGTGTGTGTGTGTGTGTGTGTGTATACTCCAACACACCCACACACACTAATCACCTCATCAGCTAAACTAATAACGCGAGAAGAATTAAAACTCAGAGACACAAACGAATCTCCCGGAAGGTCAGATATAGATTAGTCCCCCCTACACAGCTGGTGATGAATATTTACATTATATAGACCCAGCCCTTGCCACCAACCCACCCTGCCCACCAACCCACCCCTGCCACCAACCAGCCACCCACCCAACCCACCTCCACCCAGCCCACCAGCCCACCTACCCCCATACCTGAGCATGTCTCTTCAACCACAGACAACACTGACAACATTCGTAAGCTCTGTTTTTATCATCAACATTCAATAACATTCATCCTAGACATACATACATACATACATACATACACACATAAGCCCGAATGATATACGTATGTGTGGGTGTGTGATGCTCTTAGGTACGATAAGTTGGGTTAAATGAGGTTACGTTACGTCTGGTTGGATTAGGTTGGGTTAGGTTAGGTTAGGTTGGGTTGGAATTAGATTAGGTTTAGGTTAGGTTAGGTTAGGTTAGGTTAGGTTAGGTTAGATTGGTTTAGGTTAGAGTTAGGTTGATATTATTCTTTCCACCGCACAATGTTCTGTTTAAGGAACGTAACTTCAGCCACTCAACAGGATAATATGGTATCAGCTCCGTCCGTGCGTTCAGTACTACGTGCGTCGAAAATGTGCGTGAGTGCGTCCGTGAGTTCAAATTTGCTTGCGTGTTTACTCAAAACCTTGACTGGGTGAGTAGGTTAGGTTAGGTGACGATACCTTGAGTTAATCTGACTTAATCAAAAGCTGACCTAACCTAACCTACCAGGACGAGTTTCTTTATCAGAATTTTGTGGTGTTGTGATACACAGTTACGGTCCCCTAGACTCGGTTGTGGTGCGGTGGGAAATACAACGCAATTAGGGTTAGTTAGGTCATGTTAGGTCAGGTTAACGCGAGATATCGTCCAAATCTAACGACCTTAAATCTATTCTAGTTTAGGCAGGGCAGAAAGGTCAGGTCAGGTCAGTTCAGGCCAGTTTTTACAAAAAGTATTTCATGGAGCCATGGCACAAACAGCCACCTATTGTAGACAACTTGACTCTGTTTACCTCCACCAAAGTGATCCCACCACAACAAGGGATACCTGTGTTTACCTGCCTTCATCACCACAACAAGGGGAGGATACCTGTGTTTACCTGCCTTCATCACCACAACAAGGGAGGATACCTGTGTTTACCTGCCTTCATCACCACAACAGAGGAGATACCTGTTTACCTGCCTTCATCACCCCACAAGGGGAGGGATACCTGTTTCTCCTTCATCACCACAACAAGGGGGGGATACCTGTGTTTGCCTTCATCACCACAACAAGGGAGGGATACCTGTGTTACCTGCCTTCATCACCACAACAGGATCTGTGTTTACCTGCCTTCATCACCACAACAAGGGGAGGAGGATGCATGTTTACCTGCCTTCATCACCACAACAAGGGAGGGATACCTGTGTTTACCTGCCTTCATCACCACAACAAGAGGATACCCATGTTTACCTGCCTTCATCACCACAACAAGGGGGGGATACCTGTGTTCTGCCTTCATCACCCAAGGGGGGATACCTGTGTTTACCTTCATCACCACAACAAGGGGAGGGATACCTGTGTTTACCTGCCTTCATCACCACAACAAGGAGGATACCTGTGTTCCTGCCTTCATCACACAACAAGGGGGGATACCTGTGTTACCTCCTTCATCACCACAAAGGGGAGGATACCTGTAACACCTACTAACAACAGGAGGGATACCTGTGTTTACCTGCCTTCATCACCACAACAGGGAGGATACCTGTGTTTGCCTTCATCACCACAACAAGGGGAGGATACCTGTGTTCTGCCATCACACAACAAGGGAGGGATACCATTTACCTGCCTTCATCACCACAACAAGGGAGGGATACCTGTGTTTACCTGCCTTCATCACCACAACAAGGGGGAGGATACCTGTGTTTACCTGCCTTCATCACCACAACAAGGGAATGCCATGTTTACCTGCCTTCATCCCAAAAGGGGGGAATGTGTTTCTGTCACCCAGGATACTGTGTCACCACAACAAGGGAGGGATACCTGTTTTACCTGCCTTCATCACCACAACAACAAGGAGGGATACCTGTGTTTGCCTCCATCACCACAACAGGGAGGACCTGTGTTTACCTGCCTTCATCACACCACAAGGAGTGTTTATGTTCATCACCACAACAAGGGGGAGGATACCTGTGTTACCTGCCTTCATCAACAACAGGGGAGGGGCCTGTGTTTACCTGCCTTCATCCCCACAACAAGGGGGAGGGATACCTGTGTTTACCTGCCTTCATCACCACAACAGGGGAGGGATACCTGTGTCCTGCCTTCATCACCCAAGAGGGATACCTGTGTTCTGCTCATCCAAAAGGGGTACCTGTTTTTGCCTTCATCACCACAACAAGGGGAGATATATGTTTACCTGCCTTTCATTGACATTCTTCACCTTCCTAATGACCAGATCTATTTACACTGTTTTGTTAGCATTCTTATTGTACCAAGTTGAAAGATGTTTGTGAGAAAGATGTTTGTGAGAAAGATGTTTGTGAGAAGGATACTTGTGAGAAAGATGTTTGTGAGAAAGATGTTTGTGAGAAAGATGTTTGTGAGAAAGATGTTTGTGAGAAAGATGTTTGTGAGAAAGATGTTTGTGAGAAAGATGTTTGTGAGAAAGATGTTTGTGAGAAAGATATTTGTGAGAAAGATACTTGTGAGAAAGATGTTTGTGAGAATTTATTGTCGTTTCTAATATAACAAAAAAGTTACTGAATTAATCTATCTTTTGTATAATAAGAAATTGGGGACCACACCAACATCAGACCCCCTAGCCAATTTCACCTGAAGATTAACCACCCCAACGCTAGCCTAACCTAATCTATCCTAGCTTAACTTAACCTAATCTATCCTAGCTTAAC